TGTACTGCACATCATCAACATGAAAGCCCGTTAAATTTGAAACAATGCAGACAGCTAGATTTACCTGTATGTAAATGCCATTTCAAGGTGTTTAAACAAACACAAAAATGAGACAATGATGTCAGGAAAAAGGCCTTTAAAACAGGCCATCAGTCTAACTTGACTTTCCAAGTAAAAACATCAGCTTCACAAAACTGTGACACTAATGCAGTTTTAAGTAAAGTACCCTTTGACACACAAGCTGTCAATTAAGCCATCACAGTCTTTTTTGACCTACTCCCTTTTAAATAGTTAGGGAGGAGAGTCAATAGTAGCTCAAGTTTTAATTCAGTAAGTACCTTTTCTGTTTGCAAAGGAACATTATAACACCATAAAATTATATTTTTATGGTATTTAGAAAACTGATAAACTAGTTTCTTTTTTTTTTATTTTTTCTTTTTAATACATAAGTTCAAAACTTCATTTTCTATGTGTCTTTGCAATAGTGTTTTAGCCAGTGTTGCAAAAAATTTTCACTGTGGACTACCTCACATTGTTACTCAATTGTGCAAGGTATTCACGCAGTTCTTTTGCGGCTTGGAATCTACCATATCGCTTCTTTGGGTTGGCACACTCATCCAGCAAGGCCTCAAGTCGGCCATCTTTGGCAATTTCAGCTGGGGGGTCATGAAGTAGTCCTCCAGAAGTGCCACGCCATGTGGCATGTCTTGATAAAAGGTTCTGACAAATAGCATAATAATTGTGGTCCACAGTGACACGAGCACAAAGAATCTCTTTTGAGAAGGACAGACAAGCTTCTTTATCACAGTCATCAAATTTGCTTTCATACCATACATCCCAGTTTTCAGGTTTATCTGTGAAATATAAGGAGACAGTAAAAAAAAAAAAAAGTGAGAGAGGGAAGGAAAGAGCATATGTGCATCTGAATACCATCAGAAGCTTAATACACAGCAAACTGTAATATTTAAACTATAAACCAACTCTGTTTAGATGAACTCTTAAATGTTCTAGTCTACGATTGCATCTGACAGTTTGATATACCCTTCTGCTGAAATGGTCCTGGCAATACAGAAAATAAGGGAAAGAAAGAAAGAGAGTAAAATAGATAGCAAAGAGAGGGAAGCAGAAAAAACAGCACACTAAAAACATGAAATCTACATTCACACACATACCCAGAGGAAAAAATGTAGCACAAACAAGTACAAGAGAATGATTCACAGCTGAAGTTGAGAGAAAAACAAACAAGCAACATGATTTATTTTAGCAACATAGATTTGGTTTCTCCGGTTGCCCTGGGAACTTACACCGGCAAGTGGTCTACCAAAGAACAAAAAAACCACTGCAAAGTAATTGCCATAAACTTCTGAAACATTATCTTCCAACCTCTTACTTTAGACACGGTAGTAACTAAGAAGTGCGTATAAAAAAGCAGATGCATTACATATAATCTTTGAAGAAATGCAAGAAAACAAATGGAATTTACGCACATGTATAAACCCTTCTTTATATTTTAAAAGTTATCAAAATTTGAAGGTGTAACTAGTGGCCTTGTCACAAAGCTTTCTTTACCTTAAAACCTGATTTACAGAAAATACCTTATAAAATAATACGTAAAAGGTTACTGAGTGTGAGATCTCCTGAGTTCTTACTACTTTTTGTTAGAAAACTTTCATCTTAAGTTTCTAGATTACTGTCAGCTTTGAGAAGTGGTCCTTATCATGGAGTCTCATAGTTTTGCAGATCTCTTTTAGCACTGTGATGTACAAAGAAAAATTTATCTGTGTTTGGTAGTCTCTGAGCTGATGATTGGTCTACCCATTTATGGTGCATTGCAAGCCAGACTAGAAAAAAGTAAGTGTACTGAAGGATGACTGCTAAAACTATAAAAATATGATGTAAAATTTGTACAATGAACAGCAAACTCAAAATGGAAAAAAAGCCAGCAAAGGAGAATGGGAAAAAAGGACTTCAGCAAACACAAATATTATGTCCCACACAGAGTACAATTAGATATTACTGTACAGTTCAATTGGATAGAATGCACATATTCAAATATCTAAACAGGCATATTAATCACTCTAGACAGAGATTGTTTAATGAAACTCTCCAGGAGATTAATGAAATCAGTATTAAATGTCAAGTTTATACAAAGTCTGAGAACTTTCTTGTGTCCCCGTTTTCTGTGTTCTTGATTAATTGTTAGATTACAAATCATGCAGCAAAATCCTAGTTAGATCCAAACTAATCTGAGAACTATAGACAACAGATGTAAGCATGACACTTTCAGCTTCTGCAACATGCTACTTGCTCCTATTCCATGTACGCATCAACTTTTTCAGAATTCATTTGGTCATCTTTGTGACTGAGCAATTCAGACATGCTCCAAAAGTCGAAGTCTTAAGTAATATTAAGGGTTGAAAAAGGAAAAAAAAAAAAAAAAGAAAAGAAAGAAAAGAAAAAGAAAGTTTATTTGTGTGGCTCCTAAGTACTAAAGTAAATGTACTGGGTATCCAATAAATTAAAAAATTTTGTTGGTAGGCTCAGGTAATTTTAATCTAAGCTCCTTGAGAACGCATAATAAATCTAATACAAAAAAAAAAAACCAAACACCAAAACCAAAAACCCCACACCACAAAAAAAAAAAAAAAAAAAACAATCATACTTCCGTGTAGAAAAGTGTGTGGGCAGAAAATATAGTCTCAAAGTTAATTCAGGAGCACAGCATATGAAGTCTATTTGCAAATCTTAAAAAAATCCATTCACCCAAAGCAAACTGGAATCACTTGGCCTACTGCCATGAACTTCTGCAGAATCTAGGGTTTCGTGTTCAATGTCTCTAGCCCTTAGGTCTGTAAAGTTTTCCTTATAAGCTCAAAAGGAATATAAACCCACGTAATGCCATTTTGTCAAACATCTCTCCTGCTGACACTGCTTTGAGCTTTTACAGCTGACAGAAAGATGAATGAATTTTCACTATTCCCATTTGGAAACAGCACTAAAATTACTCATTCCTTCAGTTCCATTATTACAGAGCACCTACCTGAACAAATGAACCAGAGGCAGGCTATGTAACTAAGGCAAAGCGGGCAGTAAGACTGTCTTGTCATTCACAGAAAACAGAATGCCAAGACTTCCGTCCTTACAGATGTCTGGAAAAGACGAAAGGAACCTCTCTCTTTTAGCTAAGGTAGACAAGTCAGTCAGCCAGCCCATCTGTATATCTGTCCATCCATCTGTACAAACCTGTTCAATGTCCAAACCCTCTCCTCCCACCCCCACCTCTCCATTTAAGCAGGATTACAGAGTAAAAGCATATGTAAATCAAGTTCAGGTAAGCTCAATGCTTCATAAAATTGACAAATTGGTCAAGTTAATTAGTAGTCTAATTGCAGAAGAAAGCTAATTAGTTTGTTAATTAATTAGTAGTCTAGCTATAAAGCCAACAAAATGGGTATTTAGCATCTACACATACTTTAAATATTGTGCTTGCAGAGAAAGAAGCAAGAGACATGGGTTGAGGGGAGGGGACAGAAAGAAGACTTACTCTGTCTGATTAACCTTTTGTCTGCTACCAGAACGTTTTCTGCATCTACAATGATAACTTTCCCATCTCTCGGTCCAACTGCAAAGTTGTCAAAGCTGACATCAAGGAGGTAGAGTGCAAATTCAAAGTCATTATTTGTCAGCTGCTCAGCTATTTCCATTAATTGCCAGGCCAGATCCACTCGTTTCTCCCATGGTGCATTAAAGTAACTCCACAGCTCTTCTCCAACATAATTGACAGCCACCATTCTTCCGCATGCTCCTAAGTACTTTGCGAATGGCCAACCCTCATCAGATGGAAAACTCTGTATATAAAAAGATTTTTTAAATTTTTCATTAATACAAAACAGCTTAGATTTTAAAAGGCTGTTCAATAAAATTTAGGAGAGGCACCTGTGAATACCCATCAACACAACATTTCATATACTTCTAAGTTTTGAAGGGAAAGCAAAAACAACACAAAATATATTCATGTGAGCAAGAGGCCCTGCTGGGCTACTAAAGGGAAAGATATATATTTTCACATACACATGCACAATTCCACCAATTATCTTTTTCTATTGGTGTTTTATACACATCTGTTGTACTAATGCAAGTGTACTTCCCACCAAGATAATTTTGCATCTGAAATTTTTAATTAAAACCAATTTTTTTAATAACCTAAAGGAAAAAGCTTTAAAAAGTGACACCTCCTTCTTCCCACCACCACCCCTTCCCATTTTCCTCAGTTGATTGGATGCCTTTGAGGATCCTCTCACTTGAAGATCTCTCACAGAAAGGATTACAGAACAGATTAAGGTATAAAAGAAAGCTTAGGTTTTCCTATGCCTCTAGTACTCCTTAACAGTCTACCTCTTGATTAATTGCTACATACATACTCTGTGTTTTTATTACACACAGCCACATAACAATTTTTCAAAAGTAAAATCTGTCTCCAATAGTAGCTTTCATGGAAGTTAACATAAGAGACTGAATAGTAGTAACATACTACAAGCAATTAAAAAAAACCCCACAAAACCAAAAACACACCAGCATATTTTTCCTACTTCAGTTGTGCTGAATGTGCCCTAAGACTTCAATATGAACAGACAAGCACTTAAAAGGTATCCTCCATTCTATACATCAGGAAGAAACCATAAAAATATTAAATTAAGAAGCCCCAAATGCGTAGAAGTTAGCACTCTCTAAGAATATAATATACACTAATTTTAACAATTAGGAGATACCACTACGTGCGCATGCTCCTTCCTCATGCACTACCTTGCTATCATGTCACCAAAAGCAAATCGTAATCAGTTCTACAATGATGATGTAGCAAAGGTTTTACCACACTTGGGTTGAACGGCATGGTGGGTTTCAGTCTGAATGGAAGCTTTATACCTCCTGGAATCCATGATGGCAGAAAACATTTACGGTAAATCGAGAAAAGAGACACTGGAAGGAAACACATCATGTAGAACAGATCTGAACTACAAGACCAGTCAGGGAAGACGTGCCCACCACTCACCCATCTGTGTATGAATCCCACTTAAAAAAAAATTTAGAAAAGTTACGAGTGCTTACATACCCAATCACCATAGCCTTATAACCCATACCTCCCCTACAACAATCCTAAATTTTACCTATGTCTGTGCTCCCTTTGATAACAAAGTTTTGATCATTTTATCTTGAGCACTAGGCATCAGCTGACGCTAAGCCAAAGTTAGAATCCTGATGTTGGTCAGGAACACTAGAAGCTCTGTAACATACAAGGAACTGCAAGCCACATCTACCCCCAAGAACTAATACTTATTCTTGAAATGCAAACAGCAAAGTTAAAGTTCTACTCTATTCACACACTAAGACTTCAAATTTAGTATTAAAAAAGCCCTGAAAAAAACAAAATAGATTTGCTTAGATCACGATAGTCAATGCAATAATAGAAATCACCAATACACACGCCAATCTTTACTCACAAAACTTGCTTGCGTATTTCACTAGTTGTCTTCTGTGTAAGCATGCTTCCATAGCAGGAGCCAAGTTTCATTAAAAAGACAAACTGGCCTCTGACCCAAAAGGTCATTGGATCAATGAATCCTCTAACAATATCCAAGAGGAAAATTCTTATAGTTGTCTCCTCTACCTTTTAAAAGATGCTGCTGGTAAACATACAGGAAGAAAAAGCGAAACTTGCTTGGCACTGCAACAATAGTTTCTCTTGGTTATATCGAATTTTCAGGATTTCACAACAGCTGCAGGTTTCAGGAGGTAAAAAACAAAACCCTGTGGAGAGATTGTGTCCATCTACTAAGTTATTTCTGTACAAAACTGGAATCTTTGTTACAGAATTTTTAAGTACAAATGCTACTAATGAAAAGGTTTACTGAAGCACATCAAAGCTTCTCTTATGGATGGGCAACACAAGTGCTTCCATGGTGCAACTTCTCCCAGCAATTCATAGGCAGCTACAATTACTTTCTCACCCATTCTGAATCTGAAGAAGTACAAAACTATACAGAGGTGACTAGGAAAAAGGAACAGTTATTATTGAGAGTCCAGGCCATATTTCCTCCACCCCCCAAAAAAAAGGTAAAGAAAAGGTTTGGGCATTCCTTTCCATTTCCATGCTGCTGATACTGGAGAACATCACTTTAACAATCCATATGGCTCTCACTTTAAATCTCCAGCACAGAACTGGAGAGTCTCCAGCCCAGCAAACCAATTTACCTACCTACAGCATGCTCATTTCCATCCTCTTTCTAAAGGCCTTTCAGACAGGGAGAGAAGATTCAGGATTGAAGTTTCTGCTCTGGAAGCACGCTCCTTGCCATAGGAGCATTCAATAAAATGTTATGGAACCCCTACTTGAGCCCATATCTAAAATGAAGGCTGAGTACCAGGTTAACTTGCACCTAGCTTCCAGCAGTCCTTGCTTGGAACACTTAAGAACATTGCAATTTGTTTATCTACAGTTTTAAAATTATTTAATATTTTAAATATAATTTTGAGATAGTAAAAATACCAATAATTCCAAATATAAATTCAAGCAGAAACAGTTGAACCTGGCAAAGGACATGCTACCATTGGAAACGAAGGTGTCCATCCCTCCCAACCCATCAAGCACACTCATTTCAGTCCCCTCCTTCATGTCATTAGGAAAGCAATGCAGCTGGTACTTGCTGGACTGGTGTTCAGTTGGATCAGTAGCTTCATCCAGCTCATCACATCACCACATCATGCTAGTACTGACAAAAGGAAGGGAGAAGGCCTGAATAGCCAGGTGCAGAAGACAGAAAAGGAGCTAAGAGGACCTCTCCTTTCCAGCAGCAGCAAGGATTTATGTAATGGATTAAACTGATTTTGAAAGTACAGCATTGGTCACGATGGTACACTGATCTTCAAAACACATCTATTATGCTTCCTGCATTGTGTACATTAATTTCATTTCACACAAGAAATTCTAGGAACAGTTTGGTTTATTAAGAAGTGAACATCCCAAACAGTACTAGTAAAATATCTGCATGCCATACTGTAACACAGATATATTTATAACTCTGTGGCAATAAAAAGATCTTTTGACAACAGGAGTGCAGGGAATCCTGCCAACATCTGCACATGTACAAACAACATCTCTGTTTTGGCTCCCTTCCAGCTGGCATGTAACAGCCACATCTACACTTCATTACCCAAGTCAGTAGCCGAAGAAGGGGATAAAAATATGTACAAGTGCCCCATTCAGCAGTTTTATATTCACTTGGTGAATATGACAAGAATATTAATTAAAGTGCAGATCTGTTGTCTTTGCAAGCAGATTTGTAACTTTTTGTACTATTCTATTTTGAAAGTATCTTTCTAGATGAAATTGCAGCTAACTTAAATGAGGAATTTTTTTTCTTCATGTATTAAAATTTTGAAAGCCAGTAAGACATGAACACAAATTTGTACAGTCATTAAACATGTTTTCCATTAACAACTTGCATTTAGAAACAAAAAGCTTAGTAGATAGCTGTCAAAAATCTTAGATTTCCGTAGAGCAATGCATAACATAGTTTTTTATTTTAATTCTCAAATTATTAGTAGTATAAATATTTAATTAGATAATTTTGTACTTGAATATGCTATTTGAAGACTTAAAATTGTGCATTTGACAATTAAGATAAAAACTAAGCTCTTGTTCAAAACCAGAAACAGCTATCTGACAAAAGAATCTGCAGTTTTGATGCACCCACTCACATTTTATCTGTGAATATACACACAAATGCCATGGAAACCACAGACAATTAAGCTTTTAGAAGTGTTTTAAAATATAATAACGCATATGCAAAACTACAAACAGGTAGCTTAGTAAGTTTTCCCTCATTAAAGTTGTTATCTTTCTCTATTCACATAGAAATATGTATAATCTTCTACAGATGGAAAAAGGGAAAGATGGAAAGATGGAAAACAAAAAATACGACAAAAACTTCTGCTACCTCCATTCCCAGTGACACATACATCAAAAAATATTTTAGTTGCCCTAATTAGCATAGCTACAAGATTTCTCTCTAAGCAAGGCTTAAAAACCTAAGCCAACCCTGTCAAATGGACAAACGACACTTTGTTCCTGAAAGAATAATACTGCATTTATGACTTTTTAAAAAAATACACTGTAGTCTCAGAATAAATATTGAGAATTAATAAGATGAATTTATCACTTCACTGAAGCATAAAACACACTATCAGTGCATTTGTCTTCCCCACTTCCATCTGCCTAAACATGAGAAGATACACAAACCTGCCACTGGTTTTGAATGTTCAGAGCTGTGAATTAGATCATGCAGTAAAGACTCACCTGCTTGAAGCTGATAAGGCCTATTGTAGTCTGCAATAACACAAATCCCCTTTGAATTAAACACTTAAAAGAACATTAGTTTATCATAATCAAGCATATAAATCATCCTAATAATCAAGTCCAAAAAAAGCCAAAACAGTTTAAGTAGCAACTGACATCTTTGAGCTACTGTTCCACTGTACCATTAAAAAAATGTGCTTTTCATTTTCAAAACTGCTATAGAAGATGCTACATGTCACTACCAATTTTTGTATAAAGTGAGTTCCATTTAAAAAAAAAAAAAAAAAACAACCAACTAACCAAAGAGCTACACCTTAAATACAATGGAATTTAAAAACACGCAAAACAGAGTGGGGACATCTCTTCCTACACCTTATGATCCTGAAAACCTTCATGGCAAAATTACACTCTTTATGACGCCTTTGCTAAAATCATCCTACTAAACTGTGTTTGCCCAGGCACAAACTGGCATGGCAAGTAGAATTTTTTTTC